CGGGCCCCAGGGGTGCCTGGCGCGCGTGGCGCCCCTGGCACGCGTGGCGCACCTCGCCCCAACGTCGCGCACCTGGGGTCGGCTTTGGTTCCCAGTAGCTGTCCATCCAAATACGACCGATGAATATGGTCAGGCTCGGGTGTTACTTATGTGTAAGGGGGGGCAGGTCGGAGTGAGCTAGACGGCTTGCGGGCTAGTGGGTGTCTTGACCCTTACCTTTACCCCTGCCCTTGACCTTTACCCTTCCCCTTCCCCTTCCCCTTCCCCTTCCCCTTCCCCTTCCCCTTCCCCTTCCCCTTCCCCTTCCCCTTACCCTACCCTTACCCTTACCCTTGCCCTTACCCTTACCCTTACCCTTACCCTTACCCTTACCCTTACCCTTACCCTTACCCTTACCCTTACCCTTACCCTTACCCTTACCCTTACCCTTACCCTTACCCTTACCCTTACCCTTACCCTTACCCTTACCCTTACCTTTACCTTTGCCATCGCACTTACCCTTACCCTTACCCTTACCCTTACCCTTCCCTTACCCTTGCCCGTATCCTTGTTCCTTATTGTTATATACCCCCACCTACCTAGTATTCCGGCCGATAGCGACCCAATCCGGGACCTCCCATCCGGACTGTAAACAATCAATACAGAGTGGTCGTTTTTCTTCTCGACATCGCCTTTTTTGTCGTCGACGATGCGACAAGCGTGGCAGGAATGGGACGCGGCGCACATCGCCCGCACATCCTGACTGCAAAAATTAATACAAAGTCTTCGTTTTTTCCTCTCAGCATGGCCTGCCTTGTCGCCGACGGTGCGAAATATGTGGCAGCAATGGGACGCGGCGCACATATGGGACGCGGCGCACATCGCGCGCGGCCGTCAATCCGGGCCCGCCCATCGTGACTATAAAAAATCAATACGAAGTCTCCGTTTTTTCCTCTCACCATGACGGTGCAAAATATGTGGCAGGAATGGGACGCGGCGCACATCGCGCGCGGACGTCCATGCGGGCTGCGGGCCCTCCCATCCTGACTGTAAAAACAAACAATGCAGAGTACCACTGCCACTACCACTACCACTACTAGTACTACTACTACAACTACTACAACTACTTCTACTTCTACTTCTACTACTACTACTACTACCACCACCACCACCACCACCACCACCACCACCACCACCACCACCACCACCACCACCACCACCACCACCACCACCACCACCACCACCACCACCACCACCACCACCACCACCACCACCACCACCACCACCACCACCACCACCACCACCACTACGCGCCAGCACCCAGTTGCGCCAGCATTGCTTCTTATGTTGCGGGAGGGCGGAACGTGTCCGTTGTTCCTTTCAACATGGCCAGTCTTGTCGTCGACGATGCGAAATGCGTGGCGGGAATTGGACGCGGCGCACATCCCGCGCGGACGTCAATGCGGTGTCATGGGGTATCCTCCACTCGCACTGAAATGCCCGCGCAGTCCCCAGTTGTGCCATCACTGTTTCTTATGTTGTGGGAGGGCGGGTGGAAATCGGCATGCCATGCTTGACTCGCTCGAGCTGGCTAGCTTGACCCGTACCCTTACCTTTACCCTTACTAGAATCTTTCCTCGACCCTTTCCTTTATCCTTCTTCCTTATTAGAATATACCCCCACCTACCTCGTATTCCGGCCGATAGCGGCCCAATCCGGGACCTCCCATCCGGACTGTCAAAAATCAATACAAAGTGGCCGTTTTTCTTCTCAGCATCGTTTTTCTTGTCGTCGACGATGCGAAAAACGTGGCAGGAATGGGACGCGGCGCACATCGCGCGCGGCAGTCAATCTGGGCCCGCACATCCTGACTGCAAGAAATTAATACAAAGTCTTCGTTGTTTCATCTCAGCATGGCCTGCCTTGTCGCCGACGGTGCGAAATATGTGGCAACAGTGGGACGCGGCGCACATATGGGACGCGGCGCACATCGCGCGCGGCCGTCGATCCGGGCCCGCACATCCTGACTGCAAAAAATTAAAACAAAGTCCTCGTTTTTTCCTCTCAGCATGGCCTGCCTTGTCGCCGACGGTGCGAAATATGTGGCAGGAATGGGACGCGGCGCGCATCGCGCGCGGACGTCCATGCGGGCTGCGGGCCCTCCCATCCTGATTGTAAAAAACAATACAGAGTTGCCGTTTTTCCTTTCATCATGGCCTGTCTTGTCGTCGACGATGCGAAATGCGTGGCAGGAATGGGGCGCGGCGCACATCGCGCGCGGACTTCTGGGGCAACCCCAAGGCGGGAGGGGCCACCTTACTTGTCAGAAGCAATGCCATGCTGATTTTCGCTTGCCCACATAGCTGTTCTTGTCGTCCACCCCGCAAAAGTGCATGGCAAGAATTGGGCGCGGCACCCCCCCCCCCGCTCGAAGTGAATGAAATGACCTTCTCGCTTGGGCGCCGAGCGAAATTTTCTCGTCAAAGTTGCGCTCCCGCTTTGGCTCGGCGCACGTTTTTAGCTCGCCAATTCATTGGGCGCCGGGGCGTTCCAGGAGGCCCTGGGGTGACGAATGCCTGGGAGGTTTTTGCTTGTTCAGGCTCTTGGAGGGCCTCCTGAGTCTCCCCGCGGTTTCTTGGCGCTACGGCCGTCTGGAGGCCATCTTGGGCGTCTTGGAACGATCTTTCGGCGACTCAGGGCTACTACTACTACTACTACTACTACTACTACTACTACTACTACTACTACTACTACTACTACTACTACTACTACTACTACTACTACTACTACTACTACTACTACTACTACTACTACTACTACTACTACTACTACTACTACTACTACTACTACTACTATACTACTATACTACTACTACTTCTACTACTACTACTACTACTACTACTACTACTGTTACTACTACTATTACTACTACTACTACTACTACTACTACTACTACTACTACTACTACTACTACTACTACGACTACGACTACGACTACGACTACGACTACTACTACTACTAGTTACTACTACTACTACTACTACTACTACTACTACT